CTTAAACGTCGGTGTTTGTATCCGGAACACATACTAACATACCTGCATCAAATACCGATATGCCCTAGCGCAGATCTTACGTACCGATAAAGTTGGTATCACATGCTTCAATATCGGGTATATATACCCTGGTAACTTGTGCTTAGGTAACCAACCATTTTCGGTTCAAAATATTCATTTATTGTCGGTAATCAGAGATGAATTCATTGTAATAGTATTTCCATAACACTTTGAATTATATAAAGAGATAAACAACATATTTACTATAGATGACTAAACAAGTAAAAAATGACTTAATTATATTGTATGATATATGTAGAATTATACTATAACCTTCATTTGTAGATGGCTAAACAAGTTATAAATAACTAAGTTAAATTATATTAGTTGTTAGAATACATAATTTCTGTCATGAATTGAAAATCTTTAGACTCATTACATAGTAATCTACATCGTAGCACACACAACAATATTCAAGTGAACACGCTAGTCGTAATCTACTATTAGGACTTCAAGTGTTTTTTGCGTAATAAGACAAACACATCTTGTCTAAAATATTTTGACCCATGACATAATAATCCAAACTACTGCACACTTATAAACTCAATATCAATTAGCCAGAAACATTTCAAAGAAGTATAACTTGGTTGAGCTGGTAAGTACTTCAGCATGGCTCCGATGTACCCCCTATTGATTTTAATGTACCAATTCTTATCAAATTATGTACCCATGCTCTGCTTTCATGTAAATAGAAAATATAACATTATGACATAGGTGGGTAATTGTGTACCTGCATACTTTAAATGAATGCCCGAAGTGTATGAAACTGTAATCAACACAGATTTACTATAGATTGTTAAACAAGTAATGAGTGACTAGGGTAAGTTATGTTGATTGTTACTCATATACCACTGTTCCCATGGATTGATTGGTTATTTAGACCTATTACCCAGTAATACACACCGTAGCACACAAAACAATATTTGGTCTACAAAGGTAGAGAGAGGAAGTACTCTCACCGAGTTCGCGCATTGGACCCTCTGCATGGGATTGACTAAAATAAATTACATTTGAAGATACCTGGTACTACAAATCTAATGCCTATGAAATCATTATTTATATCTTTTATATTGAGGTTTATACTCGGCTCACATGGTTACATACCAGAATCATAAATGTAAATACCCTATATAAGATATTACCTACCTACAATAACAATCAAATATATACTTCAGTTACGATTACATATGCTCTGGTAACCTATAGCGGGAGAATATGCATTTTTGCTTAAAATATTCACTAAATGACAGTAAACATGAATGAATTCAACCATGGTAGTATTTCTCGTAACACCCCAAAGTGTATGGAAAGATAAACAATACATATTTACTATTAATGGTTAAACAAATCATAAATAATTAGTTAATTTGTATGATAATATTCCAACCTTGACTTGTAAATGACTAAACAAGTCATGAGTAAGTAAATTAAATTATGTTGGTTGTTAGTATAAATGACTGATGTCATAAATTGAAATTCATTAGACTTATTACGATTAATCCAAATTGTTTCATACACAACAACATTTGGTTAGGAGCATACTTGCATAGCGCATGACTTAACTAGATAGGCAAATGCTCCAAGCGGGTCTGCCATACCCCCAAACTCGCATGGTGTACAAAATCCTAGTAATTGTGTACCTTCTGTAGTCTAACGTGTAACTGAACAATGTAATCTTATGGCAAGGTTTTCGAATTGTGTACCTTCATGGCTCCATTTAATGCATGTAAGGATTTAGCATATAACCTTCATAGATTCCGAAAAAGATTAAGACTTAATCCTCATTTGTATGTTTCTAACCGATATGACATGATCAACACAGCATGTTCGTGTACTTTATGTCACTACGATTATTAATTATCAAGACCACACTGATATTGTTGGGACAATAATACGCTACCACCAAATGTGCTTCGATAGATCAACTAAATACTCCCCCAGATAATTCGTGTGTCTCTATTCATTTATTTGAAACCTGTGTCATTGAATTATCATACACAAAGGAGAACTGTCACATACCCGTTGTTCATGTTCATATACCATCAGAATATCCAAATTACAACAACAGTTCTGTACAATTTGAATCTTGCTATTGTATATTTACCTTCCACATTACATTTTTATCAATTATGCCAAATGTAATTACACACCAAAAAGGACGTTTAGAACAAAAACAAAAATTACACTTCAAAAGGCCTACAGTACCGCAGCTTTACAATTTCTTTTGACGTGCCCGAGACAACCACAACGTCCACATTTTCGTGACTATTTTATTTGCTGCGAGTCATAGCATCATTTCTTCGATTCACATTACAATACGTCTTCTCCTTGGAAACAAAATCATGAATAACTCTGTCGAGCTACATCTCGATGTCTTCTCAACATTCTGCCAACTCATCGTCTTTCAAACCCTCTGCGCCTAACCGTGTCTCCCCACCGCTGCATAAACATTAGGAAGATAACACATACGTCTCATTATTCCGTTCCAATGCCACAACACCCGCTCCGTCACCACCTCCCTGTCGCCACAACACCCGCTCATCAATGCCCTCAAACTCGCCGCCTCCTCCGACCTCAATGGCATCATTTGAATCAATTTTTTTCCCTATCCGACAAGCCCCACCCGGCTTTAAAAAATTGATAATGCATTCAAAATGCTCGATCTTGGGCACGACGTCATACACATCTCGCAAAGTCCTCACCAAATCCAATCATTTAATCGCCATATCCAAATATATACATCCCACGAGAGAAAAAGTAAACGTCACCCTATCGAGATGAATTCCCGAGTCCTCCATCCTCGAAAACAAATTGACATCCTTTTTTTCCTGCAACATTTGTTGCAAGCCTGGAGATCATAGCGTTCCGTGTTATTATATCTCATTCAGGCATTTCCTCGAACATCTTCTCAGCAAAATAAATGCAGCCATATTTCGAGTATATATTGATCAACACATTGCCCAATTTAATATTCGATCGAATCTCCAATTTCTCAAAAAAATTATGAACCCAGACACAATCCCAACAATCTGTGTCTTAGTTTTGAAAAAAAAAAAACTGAAAAAAAGGGTTAGGAATTGCGTTGAGTCTCATCTTATTTCAAAATTTGAGGATTTCATCCATAGCTCTTGTCTGATTTCCTGATTCTAACTCTATATCGGAAAAATCAATCACTACAACTATAAGGTTGTGCTTACTTGGGTTTTGATGACATCGCTCAATTTTGACTTCCCGGCGGCTAGCCTCCATGGAAGAAAGAAGCGTATGTAGGATTTAAGTGGCTGCCGGTATTGATTGATACTATGGTAAACTATCAAAAAATCAAGCGAGAGAAATCGAATAATCGTGTGAGGGTAAGCGGAGGAAGAAGGCGATGAAGGTAAAAAAAAAAAAAGAAACAGGGAGTTAAAACAAATATTATATGTAAAGTAGAGATTGCAGTTCAAACAAATTTATAAAGGGACTGAATCTAAAGTTCATTATGCATTTTGGGACTTTTATCCAATTATCCGTATATAAAATATATTAAAATAATTAATAATTATTGCAATATAAAATATAATTATATATATTTGAAATATATATATATATATTTTTTAAGACAAGACATAAAGAAAGTTGTAATGTAAAAGCTTTTTTTTGAAATTGGTTATATAATTTTTCATAAATTAATTTTTTGGGTCAAGTAAATTATTTCAATAAACTAATTTATCAAACATTGCCATTTAGGCGCTTATTCATTTGAAATTTATAAGATGTTATTGAATTTTAAAAATTTATGAATTTGTGTGGATTTAAAAAATTCATGGTGGATTTTATTAATTAATTTAGATAAATTTTTATGAATTTGATTGAATTATTTATAAATTATAGACTTGATATAATTATAAAATAATTTTTTATTAATTTATATAATTATATAAACTTATATAAAACACACTTATAAATAAAAAAATATATTCAAATTATTAATAAAAATACAAAAAATATATATTTTAAAAATACATTATTATTATTTTCATATTAATTTTCATCATTTTCATTTTCATTTTCATTATACTATAACTTCATTTTCCACATAATATTAGCCATAGTCAGCATTAGCTTTGGTTATTTGTTATAATTTATTTTAAAAAAAAAATTCTTAATTTTCATCTTTCATGTCAAGACTTAAAAATTCTTAATTTTCATATTCAACTGAAAATTCATCCGATATTTTCATCCGATATTTTTAAATAAATACTATATTTTTTTTATAACTATTAATAATTTAGAAATATTGTAACATAATAATTTTTGCAAAAAAAAAAATAAATTTAAGATCAGAAATAATAACTTTGCAAAAAATATTTGAAATTAAAAATTAATAAAAGTACAAATTTTAATAAATAAATAAATAAAAATTAATAGTTTCCCTTTATCGAGAATGACAATATAATATATTCGATAATTGAAAATGAAGAAACAATGGTAATACATATATTTATTATGATAAAATAATAATATTTTTTAAATATTGTATTTATAATATATAAAAAATACATGTTTCAAAAATTATAATAATTTGCTAAGTATGTTTTAATTTGAAATTATTATTTGTTATTAAAATATTATAATAAGATTTTTAAAAAAAATTGAAAACTTTAAATATTTTCTGATTTTTGAAAATTTTAAATATTTAAATTGAATACATCCAAAATTTAAAAAATACGCAAATAGACCTCTAAAATGATCCATTTAAATTAGGTTTTTTAACTAGTTAAATAAAAATTCTTTCGATCACCTCTAACAAGTTAGGTCATTTTGATTTTTCTCTTGTTAATATCAAAATATCGTGCTGCTAATTAAACCCTTATTATTGAATAGATAGGTTTTGGCGCTGCTGTGGTCCTATATATATATTTTATACTCCCAGTAAATATATATATATATATATATATTCATCTTCTTCATACCCCGTCTCAAGCCTTTACTTTGCAGTGAAGCACATTACCGGCACCTATGGCGACGGCCGCCGCGTCACCCTGTCCAATTACCGGCGTCGTGAAGCTGAAATACTCGCCGCATTTGCCAGTTTCCTGTTCCAATGTGCAATTTGCAGGCTTCAAACATTGCTCGCATAAGCAATTACTGGTTGCGGCAGCCGCCACTGGTCGTAACTCAGATAATGGCGCTGCTGTTTCCATCTCCCAGGACTCTTTTGCTTCTTCTTCTCCGAAATCTCTTGCTGATGGCTCTCGGTATATACATTCTCGCTCTCTTACCCTATTCTCTCACCTCTGTGTGTGTGTTTCGTTTTTTGTGGCCCTGATGGTGTCATTCTGCTGGAATGGTAGAAGGAATTTATTTTTATTTTTTTGAGGTATGTTTTGTGGGCATTTGTGATTAGTTTTTTTTTTTTTTTTGGGTCTATTTGCTGTTTAATCATCAAGATCTCTTTGATTGTAATTTTATATGGGAAACATTTATTAATAATGTTTGTTTCTTTCTTCTCGTTTTGTCAATTTTATGATTACACGAATTGACTTGCAGTGGTTGTAACGGTTAGTTTAATGAAGATATATTTACCTTTTATAGCTAAAAAAAAAATGCATTCTTTGTCTTATCTGAGCATGTGGAGAGTTTTGGGATCATCTCATTTCATTCGGTATTTCTTCAGTCTGGTTGAGGGAACATTGTGTTTAATTCTTGATCTGAACCATTGATGATCTATCTGAATGATCTCAGGGTGCAACTTCATACCATCTCTGTGTTTGTTGGGGATGAAAGTGGTATAATAGACAGAATAGCGGGAGTCTTTGCACGACGAGGCTACAATATCGAGTCACTTGCTGTTGGGCTAAACAAGGACAAGGCTTTGTTCACCATAGTTGTCTCGGGAACGGAAAAGGTTTTGAAACAAGTTGTAGAGCAACTCAATAAGCTTGTGAATGTCTTGAAGGTATCACTTTATAAATTTACAATACAATTCTGTTCAACATGTTAGCTTCTTCTTTAGCGTTGTTGGTTTTCTTGGAGATAATTTTCATGTTGTCCTTGTATTGGTTGGTTGTCATATCTCCAGAGAGAAGTGGGAGTCATTTCTTTAAACACAAGACCAGAGCAACCCTGACAGAAGTTTCTGATGCTAATGACGTTTGTTAGATTTAGGGTTTTGTGATGTAGTCACACAAAGTCTCAAAGGTCTTTCTTCATGCTTGCTAGAGTGTTCCAATTATTGTGTTCCTATTTATCATGACAGGTTGAAGATTTGTCGAGAGAATCACAAGTGGAGCGAGAACTGATGCTCATAAAGCTCAATGCAGATTCTACCACCAAGGGCGAAGTATTGGAAATTTCTTTCATCTACTCGCACCCGCTTTCATGTTTCTTTTGTTTATTCTAGATTGAATAATTTCTGTTTATCTCTTTTTGGGTCATCACTGGAAGTAATATTTTCTCGAAAATATAAGAATTCTATATAGCACAAGTCGGAAAATTTTAAAATTCATAGTGATAATAATAAGAGATATAAAAGAGCTAGATAATACTTGTCTAGGAGCTCGTCATGAGTTGAGCAAATGATTGCATATCAATATTTGAGGCCCCAATATATAAAAGTTAGATCATAACCTTGCAACAAAGTTTTCCAAGACAAATGGGAATGGCTATTAAAGGACGAGGATCTATATTTGGTTGATCCTTCTATTGTTTAAACATTAAAGACGAGAATATAGATTTGGTTGGAGGATCTTATTGCTAGAAATCTTGTTTTTAAGCTACACTGGTCTTCTGCTTCCATCTAATGGAAGTTCTTTTTTATGCTTTTACTTTTGTATAGTGTTTATGAGCTTCTTGAAGAATTCCCTGAAATTACTACAATGAACCTAATGCTTGATTACCTTTGACTAGGATCTATATTTGGTTGATCTTTCTATTGTTTAAAGACGAGAATCTATGTTTGGTTGGAGGATCTTGTTGCTAGAAATTTTGTTTTTAAGCTACACTGGTCTGCTCCCAACTAATGGAGGTTCTTTTTTATGCTCTTTACTTTTGTTTGGAGAGAGTTTATAATGTTTTTGAGCTTCTTGAAGAATTGCCTGAAATTACTACAATTAACCTAATGCCTGATTACCTTTGACTATGTCTAAGCATGCTATTGTTTTTATATTTGTCAATTACGTTTTCAGATTATGTGGTTAGTTGACATTTTTAGGGGAAAGATCGTGGACATATCGGAGCACACTTTAACTATGGAGGTTGGATTCTATTTTTGTGTTTTTGTTATCAATATCCTTTGCTTGTTAATAGCTATAATTTTTTTTAAATCGATAATAACTAGATTTTGAGTGGTATGATATATGCTTCTTGAATTCTGAAATAAAAATTAATACATTTCTTGTGAGTTGTGCCTCATGAATTTTTTTATGTTATATCCATTTGATAATTGTTAGATAATGTAAATGACCGTTTCACTTAAAAGTTTAAGTTGGTTGGATACACCTTAAAGCTTAAGCTAGTAGGAATACACATAATTTATTTATTTATATTTTTACGGGAGTCAACCAATCATAATCTTGCATAATGCTGAATAAATTAAATAGTAAATGTTTATCCACTTCCAGATCTATTTCTCATATAATTATGTAGGTATGCATTTCTAATTTTGTTATTTTATGCTTCTGTAAAAAAAACATTATCAAAATATGTTATCTTTTCTTTATGTTAGTAAAGTTGTTTCAAATTAAAACTGTGTTTTGAAATTGGGAGATGGTTATATAAGATGCCATGGTCTGGTATAAGATTGTAGTCAATGAAAAATTTCCATGTATCCCACTGTTTGATATAGGTAACAGGGGATCCTGGGAAAATTACAGCAGTCTTGCGAAATCTCAGAAAGTTCGGTATTAAGGAGCTATCAAGAACTGGAAAGGTATTATCATTTATCTTGTTATGGTGCTTTAACTGACGAACACATAAATCGGGCAGTTACTTTGGCGCATTTTCTTTGAGCTTTGACTTTATCCATTGAGCCACAGTTGTTGATTTGTTGCTTTAATTTTCAAACGTCTTGTCTTTGATTTTCCACATTGTTTTGGCCCTTTTGGGTGTTTAAATATGTCTATTTGTGGAGTTTGTGTGGTAGGGTTGGGATACCTCAATCTAGTTAATTATATTTGGCATTTTACTCCAAACATTATGGCATTTTACTCCAAACATTATGTGCCACTTCTCACATGGATCTAGAGTAATGATATTTTCCAGTTTAAGGTTAAAAACTTCCCGTAATTTTACCTGGTCATTATTCTTACTTATTAATTCCACTACGCAGGTTGCACTGAGGAGGGAAAAAATGGGTGAGTCAGCTCCATTTTGGAGGTTTTCTGCAGCCACTTACCCTGATCTTGAAGGAACAATACCCATGGAAACAGTTCGGGACGCTGCTAGTCGGGAAGTCATTCGGAAACCCACCAATGGCACCCTTTATGCTGCCTCAGGGGTAACTGTGCTAATCTAGTTCTTTATTTTTAACGGTGATCACAGTGCCAAAGATTTGGGTTTAATAAAATATGACTTATGATACATTTTTCCTTGTTTCGATTATTCCATGAAGTAGTCAGAGCAGCCCTCCTTGAAAATTAAACTCAATTTTCAATTGGCTTTTGTTTTACCGAACCATTCAATGCTAAAGAGTAGTTAGTTTATATGATTTAGTTTGAGTCCAACAAGAGAATGACAGTATACCACAACTTTTTGATATCTTAATCATTAATGCCTTGATTTCCTAGCTGGTACAGTACAATATGAGGATTCAGTTTATACTCCTATCCATTGAGCATCAGTTGACTCAAACAAAAGAATGGTTGGACTCGCTGTTTTCTTTATCCTATACTACATGTTTTGTATGCATGCCTATTTAGTTCCATGTGTCATGGGGCGTTTGTGTATCTCCATAATTGCACTGTGTTGCTAGCAGCCATACTTGCATGACTAAATCTGCCTCATATTACGTGTATTAATTTGGTGGTTACATCACAATCACATTCCTCAGAATGTTTTAGAGCTTCCCCGAATAGAAAAGTGACTATAGAGATGCATTTTAGGCAGAAAACCAACTTTTGCATCCTTGAGAACCTATAGAATCCTTGGATAGAAGTCCTCAGGCAATACAGTTCTAATATTAAGTTTGCAATTCTTTTACCCATTATAGAAAGTCACAATTAGAAAACAATATTATAATGGCTTGTATTAGCACAACTGTACACCAGTTCATCAAATACCAACCAATAACTGATATTGGCCCTGCCTATGTTTAAATATCTCATAATGGCCTATGTACGAGCTCACATAGTATTTAGAAAGAAAAATCTAAGATCTAATAGTCTTCAAGATGATATGATGTCCAAGCAATGTCCTACCAAGAACAGGTATATAGCCAGCACTATCCAATTGTGCAACATCCAACATTCTCTCCAATTTGAGATGGCGAACCCCTTGGTGTTCTTGAAGCCCAATATATCTTGGTCAAGGACTTTAATGTCTATGCTGTGGCCCTACCATTTCGATCCATCCTTTCTCGATGCATGTAACTTTGTGGTCTAGGTTTGTGTTACCTAGTTTTGTATCTTCCCAAACGGTTGCTGAGATTGAATCTACTACCATTTGTAGGTTCATAATGTAGAATTTTACACGGAAAGTTTTTTTCCGCCAAAAAGACAACTCTATCTTGTAAGTTAACTTTCCTATTGCATTTTTCATTGACATACCTGAAAAGGTGAAACGTATATTTTTAAAAATCTAAGTTCTAAGGAGTACAAATGTTGAATATATACAACACTAATGTGCCTATACTAATGGTCTGACCTATTCAACGATTATAAGTCCAACTAAACAAATATAACAAAAAATAATCTACACTCCCCATCGAGCTGGAGCTTATAGATTGTATGTTCCAAGTTTGTTTAAAATAAACTTGATAGGATGTCAGCAAGTTAGTCACGGGATGAAACATGATCAGTGACTATACACCCGCAGTACCTTCTTTCAAACCTGCACTCCCCTTTAAGCTGGAGCATATAGATCGTATGTTCCAAGTTTGTTACAAATAAATTCAATTCGAGATCTTTGAAGAGCCTTTGTTAGGATGTCAGCAAATTGGTCACCGGATGAAACATGATCAGTGACGATATACCCCAATAATACCTTCTCTCGAACATGAAACAACCACCTGGATCTGTTGCTCAGGGGGAGTGGATCTGTTGCTCAGGGGGAGTCTGGTCTCGTTTGCAAACTACGTCGTTCGCTATATGGATTGAAACAATCTCCACGTGCTTGGTTCGGTTGATTCAATAGCGTGATACAAGAGTTTGGCATGATCCGAAGTGCATTAGATTATTCTGTCTTTTATAAGCACACATCACACGGTAAGTGTTTATATCTTCTTGTGTACATTGATGATATTGTTATCATTGGAAATGATCAAGAAGAGGTTACTCAGTTAAAACAACATCTATTTATGCATTTTCAAACTAAAGATATGAGACCATTGAAGTACTTTCTTGGTATTGAGATTGCTCAATCACGTGATGGTATTGTTCTTTCACAACGGAAGTAGACATTGGATATTCTTGAAGAAACTGGCTTGTCGGACTGCAATCCAGCAGACTCTCTCATGGAGCCATTAGCTAACGTAGAAAGATATTGTAGAATGGTTGGTAAGCTTAACTATCTCACACTTATTCGACCTGATATCTCTTTTACTATGAGTGTTGTGAGTCAACCTAGATGCTGCCATTCGAATCTTGAAGTACATCAAATGGTCTCCTGGTAGAGGATTATTGTACACTAATTAAGGTCACACTGAAGTAATTGGCTATTTAGATGCTGATTGGGTAGGATTCCCCGCTAATAGACGCTCTACTTCAGTATATTGTATATTTGTGGGAGGTAATCTTATCTCATGGAAAAGTAAGAAACAGAATGTTGTTGCTCCATCAAGTGCAGAGGTAGAATATCGAGCCATGACATTAGCGACATGTGAACTTATTTGGATAAAACAACTTCTTCATGAACTCAAGATAGTGGAAGTAGTGGAAGTTTCAAAAATGAAACTCTTTTGTGACAATCAAGTTGTTTTGCATATTGCCTCTAATCCGGTGTTTTATGAGAGGACTAAACATATAGAGATAGATTGTCATTTTATTCGGGAGAAAGGGTTATCTGGATGCATCACGACTCACCATGTTGCTTCGAATGATCAACTTGCATACATTCTTACTAAATCTCTCAGAGGCCTTCAAATTAAATTTCTATATGACAAATTTGGATCATACAATTTGTACTCTCCATTTTGAGGGAAAGTGTTAGATATATTATGTATAGGGGTATTTTTGTATTTATAATAGTGTAAGGGCATTCTAGGTATTTTGGTAGTTGTATTATATAGGGTTTTGTGTTGTATTTTGTAATATTTAGTTCTACATCAATGAAAAGTGCGATATTCTTCACTTTGGATACGGTAGCACAAATATTATCCGACAATTCACTCCATAAAATTGGTAAACTGGAAAAATACTTCTGAATAGATAGACAACCCTGAGTGTAATTTTTAATCTCACATTCCAAATGAAATCTTCTTGCCGAATCCATGACAATAAACTCTGTAAATATGCCCATATTTCTTTAGCAATTTTATATGGGTGTAGGAATGATTTAAGTGAACTTATAAGCTAGAACATCACCCGTGCATCCTCAACCTTCCATTGAGCCAATCCCGTGTCATAGCCATTGATATGTCCCCATAGCCCTTGGCCAATATAAAGTTATGATAGTTTTACAAGAAAAAACTGTAAGACCTCTCAGTCTTTATGATGTTCAATCTGCCAGCAACAAGCCAACAAGTTTTGCCCAATCTCCAATCTAAGCACAACATTAGATGGGCTACCCAAGGCTACATCTACGATTGTAAACGAATCGAATCGAATCAAATCAAATACTGTTGTATTTAATTGGATTCGAATAAATATTCGATTATTCAATTCGATATTCAGTTCATTTCGAATCTTAAAATGATATTCGTATTCAATTCAAAATAATTTTTGAATTATTCAATTCGATTTGAAATAATTTTCAAATTATTCGATTCGATTCGAGTATATGATTTAATTTTAATATTATACAAATATTTGATTAAAATGTGATTTATTTTTGTTTCATCTGATTCAATTTGAAGCTATTAGATTAGAACTTCTTTTAATTAAATTTTTTAATAATAATATTAAAATACTTGATAAAAAAAATGTACATATTTATTATTTATTATTTTTCACATTGACAAAAAAGACTTTTTTTTTTTAACATAAATAAAAATATCATTGTACAAGTATACTTTTAATTATATTGTATTTATTTATATAAAATTTAAAAGTATTATTATTAATAAAATTAGTTTGATTTATTTCTATTGGGGAATACATAGATATGTATATTATATTTTATACTATCTATATCTTTTTTATTATCGAATCGAATATTTATGAATAGCCAATCAAATATTAAAATTTTACATTTGTATTTGATTCATATTCGAATTCGAATCATAAAATTTTGAATCGAACAAAATTATTTGATTCATTTATAACCCTAGCTGCATCCATCAAAACATAGTATGGCTCCAACTTCTATTATTTTGTCTGCATTTGGCCTGTGAGATATTCTAGTTTTTTTTTTTTTTTTTTTTTTTATTATTTATTATTATTATTTTAACCTTATATGTACCTGCTGAGTATTTTTCCTCTGTTAGCTTGTTAAATCTATATGACTGAAACCAAGTGTCATAGCCATTAAAGCTTGCTACTTAAATAAATGTAATTTTCCTCATGCTTTGTGTCTTTCATTTAAATTGATATATAAGTATGTTTCTTGATTGAAGGGTGATGTTTATCCTGTTGAACCTGCTGATGTCTTCTCTAATCAAGTTCTTGATGCCAACTGGGGAGCTGTCTTCGATGAAGATGTAAGAATCTTTCTTCCACAAATGTAATGCCATGCAATTTGGCAGTAATTATATATTTTCGCTTTTCAAATAGAATTTATGTGCTAGGCTAGCCAACGGCAGATGTTGCTTGAAGCTAGCCCATTTATTTGTGAACTTGAGTAAATCCTTGCAGTAATGAGTTACATTTTTGTGATCAATTTCTGCCTGACCATAAAAGTTTCCCAGTCCATTTGTCTCCTAAAACCTCAGAGATGCTATTCTGAAATGATTTTTTTTTTTCTTTGATCAGCGCTATTCTGGAATAATTGATTTTGTGGACTAGAGTTGGAATTTGATCTTCAACAGTCTCTGTTGAAAAACGCCAAATTGTTTTTTCCTATGTTCTTGGAACAGCTGTTTTATTCTTATCTTAATGCTGCAGTCAAATGGGCTTCAATCGCATACTTTATCCTTACTTGTCAACAACGCCCCAGGTGTTCTGAATCTGGTTACTGGGGTTATATCTCGGAGAGGGTATAATGTCCAGGTCAACTGTCTCCTTACTTCCTTTCGTTCTTCATTTACTGTAATATCTCAGATGTTCCACTTTATGTTATGATGGTGTTTCAAGTTTTTCCTAAACTATATCTCTACATTTCTAGAGTCTTGCTGTGGGACCTGCAGAAACTGAAGGGCTTTCACGCATAACAACTGTAGTTCCTGGAACAAAAGAAAGTATCGCCAAATTGGTCCAGCACTTATATAAGTTGATTGAAGTTTATGAGGTGAGTGGAGTTCATTGCAACAATCAGTTCAAATGTAACTTATAATGCCTCAAGAATAATGGTGAAGTTCTGGCTTTTTAAAGAGCCCTTTCTAAAGAAATTCTAATGTTATATGTAGTATGTGATAATAATGAAGAGTAAGGGTAGCTTATATGTCTTATGACTGATCATGTACATGTGAAATGGCACCTTGGGGGAAATTTTCAAATACTAGGGTTTTCGCTTATAGCTTGTATGCATTTGGGTTATTGACAAAATCACTAAAACATATACAGTATGCTATCTCTGACATGATATACATTATAGAAAAAGAATAAATGCTACATTAGAAGGTTCAAGGAAAGTTTTTGAATAAGAGATTGTTCCATAAGCTGGTGCAAGGCAATGCGGAGTGCCATCTAGTGGTTGTAGAAGTGATAATAGAATACAGGTGTAAATGCAAGTTGATGGGCAGAAGATCAAGTTATAATCTTTATCTATGCATTTGAACTTTCACCTTACGTTTAGGAAAGCCAAGATCAAGGTTTACAAGTTGATTTATGTGAAATAACAGTGAAAGAACATCCGTTTAGGGTCATTGTGGGATAAACTGTAAGTTATTCCTGTCTCTTACGAAAGAGGAAATGGCTGATTGAATGACTTCTTCAGGTTCAAGATTTGACGTATTTGCCATTTGCTGAGCGCGAACTAATGCTGATTAAAGTTGCTGTAAATGCTAATGCGAGAAGGGATGTTCTTGACATTGCCAATATTTTCCGAGCTAAACCAGTCGATGTTTCAGATCATACGATAACATTGGAGGTATTTTTCCTTTGATATTCAAGTTTCTCCTCATGTAACTGACTAATAACTTATCAATCTCTGGTAGTAGTTCTTCTAGAAATTAATGATGTGTATCTTTGTTTTGGTTTTTTGGTCACGCACGTTATTTGTTACAAATGATTGCCATCGATATCATTGTCATGTTGTCCTTTTTTATTTTAATAGATGCACTGCGTGTTGTGTTTGTGAGTTTGTATATTATGCATTCTATATTTGTGTCATTGTGGTTAATCGAAAAAAGTTTATTTTATTACAATTATAATTAAGAAGGCCCTCTGCAATTATATAATAAAGGAGCTTTCACATGGAATTAGTTAAAGAGTGTTTGCTCATAATTAATTACTACATTTGACGTAGTTGTCTTTAGCTCTATTTCGGAGCTATATCCTTCAATGTATATATAGAGTAATTAATTACTACATTTGACATTGTTGTCTTTAGCTCTATTTGGGAGCTATATCCTTCAATGAATATATATATATATATATTATTTCTGAGAGTCAAATCAAGGATTGTAAAAATGAAGTATCAAATATTAACCTAATGATCATTCTAAGTCATTATCTGTTACGAGTGATTTGAATGCAATTGTTTTATAGAGAGAGTAACTATGTTCAAGCAAAGCATTCACCAAATTTTACTATAGGGATTGTGTCTATATTTATCCTTTTATATTCGCATATATTACATTTTGCCTAAGATTAATCTTTCAATCACAGTTGACAGGAGATTTCAACAAGATGCTTGCACTCCAGAATTTGTTGGAGCCGTATGGTATTTGTGAGGTAGGCTTTGCATAATCACATATTACTATTTGATTTAAATTGCATGAGTCAGCCTATCCATTGCCCCCCTGTCAAATTTCTCGATTTGCGAAGTTTCTTTTCGTCATTCCTTAAAAAATATTGATAAAGCAAAAAGGTGGGAACATCGAGAAACCAAAAATTTATTTGATTGAGGATCGTATCATAAACATTGTAACTTGTTAGTGGTGTTGGATAATAATCACATATTGATTCTCGGCTGACTAAATATGATCGCTGCGGGCATCTACTCAATGGAGCAGAAATCTCATGTCTTATAATGCGAATAAAAAGCACTCTAGAAATATCTAGATACATAATTACTGAGAAACAGGAGATTGAATTGTGCAAAACCTTGCTTGCGCAGATGATTTGCTATCGAATGTTAATGAATCTCTGGTTCTCTCTCTTGACAAGGTGGCCCGGACAGGGAGGGTGGCTCTGGCGCGGGAATCAGGTGTGGATTCGAGGTATCTCCGGGGATATTCTTTGTCCTTGTAGATGAATCATGATGCTATTACACAAGACTCGGGCAGCTGAAAGACAAGAATCATATGCGCTTGGAAGGTAATCTGCTCGGTAGTCATACGTACCTTCCTCAAACAATTGTAGTGATTAGTTTATCACTTGTCAGAGCAAATAAGTGTTCATAATTTATGGTAGGGATGAAATGGAATGATTATTTCTACCTCGTAATTTCTAGTGTGACTTTTCTTGAATATTATGGATTTTTTAAGAAATTTGAAGCAAGTTCTGTGGTATAGTTGGAGGAGCAGGTGCTGGCCTGAAAATAATAATATGTTCAATTTATGCATTTAATGGCACTATATTTATTTAGGCAGTTAGATATTCATCTTCTCCATTCAGTTTCAAGTTGGTTGGAGATGAGATGAAGTCGATTTTGAGATTTACATTGTTCTTTTGGTGAGGCTGCCTACTTCTTTATCTTCTTTTCTCACCACTCCCCTGCTTTTTCTTTTTTTTTTTAACCAAAAGCTTAAGCCATGAAAATGGAGGTTGGAGTTGTTTCAGTGGTGGTAGGGTAGATATAGAGCTGATAAACGAACTGAGCCGTCCGTTCGTGAACTCGGCTCGGTTCGGCTCAGTTAGAGCTCGTTCGCGAAAGTTAACGAGTCGAATCGACAATATAAACAGACTCGTTTGGTTAACGAACGAGCCTAAGTTTTGTTCGCGAACGTTCGTTTAAATAATATATTTATTATAAATATTATATATACATATAAATTTATAATTTATAAATAAATAAAATATTAATTTAAAATATATAAATTAAAAAAAGTGAGACAAACGAGTTCGAACGAGTTTAATTGAGTCTAAACGAGTCGAACACGAACACGAGCTCAAACAACAAAAATGTTTAACGAGCTGAGCTCGAAAGTTTAACGAACAAACACGAACATTGTTCGCGAATCATGTAACATATAAGACCTCCAACGGATTTGAACATATAAGCTTACGATCACAAGTTCATGGTACCTGTATTGTGTGATTTGTTTTCTATGATTTTCTTTTCCCACATACCCATACACTCGCGCACCCGAGTCCCGACGATGATCCGAATCCCTAACTTCAAGCATGCCAATGGAGAGTTCAACTTCTTGAACTATATATTCTAGGCTTTTTTAAGTCGGAGTTAATTATGTCACTTTGATTAAATATGAAAATAAAAAATAATAATATTTTAATGTTAAAATGAGATAGATAAAAATAAATTGAGATTATTATAAAAAAATTATTAGAAATTGATCTTTTTAAAAAATGATATGAACCCAAATATAAGAATTCTTAGGCCGGATAGAATTGGGATAAGAGAGTATAAAAAAATAAAAATTTAATATAATGTTTTTTTAAAAAATAATATAATTTTAATAAAAAAAGCCCTGTTCTAAAATGGTTTGAAAAGGTAGGTAAACAAAAAATTATTTACTTTTATCTTAAAAAAAAACACTTCCAAAAGTTGTTGGAAAAAGTAGGTAAACAAAACACATGTTATAATAAATATTTATATTTTATTCAAACTTGAAACATTGAAAAATTCACGCCCTTCAAAGTGTGTTCACTTGTATTTCTATTCCCAAATTTCCATATCAAATATTTTTTTAAATGATTTGAAGATTTATTGTTTTTCACAAATTTTCATTATACGGAATTGAATTAGGTAGATAATATAAAAATAATACTCCCTCCAGTCTAAAACAAGGTGCAACGTTTGTTTTTGGCACGAGTTTTTATGTGGATAGTATCAAATAAAATAATTTAGAAATTAAATAATGTGATGGAGAGAGAAATATATATTTTATTTTTTTATTCGGATGATGTGAGGGGATAAAGTGTGAGATAGAGATTAAATATAATTAATTATTTTCTATTTTAGAAATGTTGCAGGGTGTTTGGGACATGCCAAAAAGAAAATGTTGCATGGTGTTTGGGACATGCCAAAAAGAAATTGTTGCAGGGTGTTTGGGAAGAGGAAGTATAATACAAAAATGTGAGTAAAAAGTGAGTAATAATTGTTACTAAAAAAAAAAGTACAAAAATGTAAAAAAAAAATTATTAAAAAGAAAGCAAAAATATTTTTTAATGACAACAAAAAAAATGAATATAAATTTGATGACGTGAGAATATGCAGCGGCTATTCGAAAGTGCAAACTAGGTAAACCCCGGTCGAACCTAATATCCTACTCGACAGACCTATATACACTGAATGTAGCTTTTTCCTTTTTAGTAGTAAATTAAAATATGAGTATTTTATTAATAGTAAAAATATGTAATGCTGTAACACTATAAGTACAACTACAAAAATACTTTTGTAAAAATAAGACATATTTTGATATTTATATATTAATTATTTTATTATAATAATAAAAAAATATTTTAAATGAGATAAAAAAAAAATATTTAAAAAGAAACATTGAATTGAAATAAAAAATATATTAAACAAATTTAAAACAATTTAAAGATATCTGAATGCAAAAAAATCTCTTAAAATGTGTTATACTCCCTCCCCGATTGTAACTATTTGCTTTTTTTACATTAACTATTTGTTTTTTTTTACGTAAATTTTAGAATATTAATACTTTATAGATAATAATACAATAAAATGATTTTAAAAAAATAAATTTCCTTTAAAATTCATTTATTTTTTAATGGCATTCCTTGTAATATTGTACTCCATCTGTCTTCTTTGATATTTCTTTCGCTAGTCATTTTTTTTTTAAAAGAACTACATTATTTTTATCATTTAAAATTTTTTAATCCATATTTTTAATTTAATTTAATCAATTATCTCTATCTTAATTTATAATTATCTATATTATAAAATAATTATTTTCAAATTATACTTTGTCTAAAACTTTTTGTATACGATAGATAGCCAGAATAGAAGTATAAAGTGTGAAATATTTTTTTTGTTAAAATAAGAAATATAATTATTTATAAATATAAAAAAGAACAAATTCATCCAAAGTTGACAGAAAAATAAATACATTGAGAGGAAGTATAAAATATCACACAAAATTTCTTCAATTCCGAAAAAAAATTAGAATATTAAAAAATTAAAAGAAATAAATAAATAGTGTGTTACAAAGATTAGGTAACATAATTTATTTAAGTTGTACATTACAAAGTGCACACACAACACAGAACAAAGTAGAAATTACATTAACAAAAGCCAAAACCAGCAGAGAGTAAAAGTAGCTGGGAAACAAAACACTCACTTCTCATCCTGCCCTGCCCTGCCCTGCCCTGCCTACCAAAATAAATTCTATACAAGTTTTAGATTCACATTGACAAACTTATCAAACCCGGCCCGGCCCGGCCCAGATATTAGAATGTAAGTATCATGTAACTCTCGAACCAAAAGCTCAAATCGACAAGCAATATAGTTTCAAAAAATCGTAATGGTGTTTGCACGACGTATGTTGCTGGTGAAGATGATGACATGAAGTAGAGCTTATGATGCAAGATTGAATGAAAAATTACGTGATAAAAATGAATACCTTTGACAGGATATGATCCGCGACACAAATGGGATCAAGAATCTCGCTTCAAGGAGAATGTAGATGTTCTAAATGGCTGACCACGTCGCATGAATCACTGAGCCTAAAATCAGAGCGGTGGAGGAGATTTGGTTGGACGGGGTTGGGGGGTTCTGTTTTTCGATTTAGATTCATAGGTGTAAGTTTGCCTGTAATGCTGTAGCGCACCCGTATCCGATGAGATATGGTTTCAGTTGTGCAGCTGCCACGTACTTTTACTAATAGCATAGCTTCCTTGTCCCTAGCATCTTCACACCAAAAGTTTTGGGGTACACCATCGACAAACTCTTCTAATGTTCGGTACTCTTCATGGCGGATTGATATTTCAGCAATATTATCTGCTTCAATGATTCCGGCGGCAGGGGTGACCTGTTTTACATTTCAACCATGTTAACATATCATAAAACAAGGCATATAAATAATGTTGCTTTTTAAATCATTGTCATAAATGACGATGTCGACTTTAAAAAGTAGCAACGGTTAAATTATTTTCTAAACTTCTCATAAGTATTTAAGAAACTGAAAATAAAATAGTAAGATACTTTAATAGGGAGTGACAAGTTCATAAACTATATTAAACATTATGTTGATGCATCATCGAATTCACGAAGGACAGAAATTGCTCAGACTTCATTGCAATAGCTAGTGCAGGGGTTAAGGACACATATATTTTGCACGCATCAATCTCAATTCTAATCCTTCGAGTTCAACATAGTTAAATTTATTAGGATGTCCATTAAACAAAATTGTGGAATATCAAGAAGCAAGCAAACAAACAAGTAAAAATCACAGGTTGCTGCTGAAAACTAAAAAGTGTTACAAGAAGAAAGAATTTCAGAATGCCTAAAATCATGGATATCGGGATCCAAGTAAAATCCATGAAGAAAAACAAGTAGAATTATTTTCATGTTCATTAAAACGCCGTTAAGGGAGCATTGAAGAACACAAATATAGAGACTTATGTGTTAAATAGAAAAAAAATAAAAAGATCAAGTGCAATCAGCCTAATTTGCACTTGTATGGTCATAAAAAAAGATACATTATTTGGAACTTGATTATCGATAGCACACATTAGCAACTAGCAAACCGGCTGCTTGTGATACTAGTATCAATATAGAAAGAATAATTTGAAAATTACCTCAAGCCATTGGGGAAAGCCAAAAGAACCTCTCGGGTGATGATCAGACGCCTGTCCATCTTTGTTAATGGCAGCCACACCTTCACAACTTATTTCAAATAGAGCTTTGTCTTTCTTGCATTTATTTGTGATCCGTAGTATAGATATGTCTTGGTTTTGAAGGATTAAGTTATTTGTACTGACTACTACTTCGGGAACTTTGGCTAGTTCATCAAGTAAACGCTTGATTTTCTCATTTGATTTGAGGATTTCTCCAAACTCCTGCCTTCTTACTGACTCATCAACTCGAGCAATCTCGACACTGAAAAGGCAACGGACAGGCTTGTGATCACTGTCGGTTATATCCATACAAGCTTCATACCTGTCAAAAGATATCCAAGCTTAAGAAGAGCAGAAGAAAGAGAAAGTAAAAGCATTCTCTATTGTATATTTTATATGCTATCTATGTCCGAAACCTTTTGCTATTATTTTCTGTGGGATGTCTCAAAACTTATTTAACTTTTATTTATTTATATACAGTTATATTTCTTCACCCTTCTATACACAACTTTTTTATTAACTTATAAAACATTCTGAACAAAAACGTGTGACATGACGGCAAAGTGAACCAAAAATTTAAATTGCCATCTAAAAATCGTGTCATAACAAAAGTTAGCAAAAGTGATAGGGCCGAGTAAGTACTAAATTAATCTTAAATTAAAAGGATGCCACAATTGACACATTCATACAAAAGGGTAGCGGGATGCCCCAGAGTTTTGGTATATATAGGGCTTGAAAAAGAGAATTGAGCATTGACCTCCATTTTGACTATAGTGTTTTGGTCCTTAAAAGTTCGAAGTCTTTCTAAGGCTGTTGCAAGTTTGAACTTGACACGCACTAGTTCGCAAGGCACATTCAGAGAGTTCCACCTTAGCAATAGACTATTTGATTAGAAGCTTCATATCCCTTTCGGACTGAAAGTAGGGGAAGTCTAGTGGTTATGATTTCAGTGCAAAGTCCCATCATTGTAGTCAGGAATTATCCTATGTACATCTAAGAAAAGCTTTTTAAACCAAAATAGGCAAACCGGGCCGATTCTAGGGCAAGGATACTTCATCAATGGCATGTTTAACTAAAGATAAGATAGACTTATCTTGCCTTAAGAGATTCATCATGCATTGGAATAAGGGGCTGCTAATACTTGTATCAATATACTGCGTCATCTTTTCAGCTAGTGTTGTTCCTCAAGGTTTTACAAATCATGAGGATGATCAGTGACAAATATAATCTAGTGCCGAGAGTTTCAATTTCTACATGGGAGTTATCACTGTAACAAGTTTTGCACCATTAACGTGGAGGAGTTGTTTAATTTTCAAAGAATTTTTAATTTATTCCAAACCTCCTAGAAACAAGAAATTCAGATATGATTCTGAAAATATGGGTCAAATGCTCCTGAAAATAGGAATCCATTCTAAAAGATTCAATTCAAATATAGTAAAATTATTGTGATCTTTCAAATGTGTGTGATTTGTATTCATGAAAAGCCTCAAATGAACCACATTATCTACAAAAACGAAATATACTAGGAAAGTGCATCTCTTCCTAAATAACTTACTGCAATATTGACAAGACAACTGGGCAGTCCAAGCTGCAGGCAGATACTGAAGAAGAACGGCTATCACGGTACAAAATCCTATCACACCAGGCAGGAATCCTTTTCTTCTCTCCAGAATCATAACCTTTACAACACAATACAATCAAAACCTATCTAAGTAAACAAAGAACAAGCCAGTTCAGATATTTTTATTTGTCTTACCTGCCAAACCAGGTTGGTGCTTTTCAAATTTATATGTTGGAGGAAACCTAATCACGGCCTCACGCATTCCTTGGAAAACATTACCAGCTTTCATTTCAGCTTGCAACTGATCTCTTTCTCTAAGCCAGTCAAAGCTTCTTTGGGATATGAAATCCCTTGCCTCATCATACGATATGCCATCTAGCCGATAGTTGAAGTCCCCAAGAAATATCACCATGTCTGCCTCGGAAAGCTCAGGCATTCCTTCCGTAGAATTAATACCCATAGCCTGCGTGAGATAATGCTCAAGAGCTAATTAATAAAGTTAACAATGAAACATCCAACAGAGAAATGAGCTTGTTACGTACATATGTAGTGCGGATCATTTGAACTGCAGAAGTGACGCCTGCTGCAATAGAAAGCACCAATGGCAAGCTCGAACCATAAACAAGTGATAGTAATAGCATTGAGCAGGCAATCAAGCAACATAAGAGTAACCACATCACCATACCAGCAGCAGAATTTAAAACATTGGATGGTCGACTAAAAGCCATTGTTCGATATACATGATCAAAATCAGCATTTCGACGATTAACAGCTTCTAAGTGTGCAGCAAAATGACAATTGACAAAGCACATCACTCGGTCGTACACTCTCATCCTCAGCCCCACAGCTCCCTGCCAATAGCTTCTTAGATATTAGATTCATATTAGTATGGTAAACATAGAGTTAATATTAGCAAGAAATATAGAAGATAATATCAGTTGATACAAAGCATGGACTTCTTGCCAGGGGGGAACTACAGTTCCCACAGAAAATTGCACTTCACTCCCTCTAAATAAGAAGTTTATGTGGAAGATAATTAGGCTAAGTAAAAAGTATCTCCAACCATCAGTACCATTGCAACATAGAAAATGTGAAAGACCATTTTTTTTTTCCATTTTTATCAGCTTGCAAAACTTGAAAATTGAAGGTGGTAACTAATGGTGATACAATCCAACATTTTACCCACAATAACTGAAAATAAAAGAAAGTAGCAAGCTACAAGCTAAAGAGTTTCCATCTTGGTTTAGAAATTTCTCAATAAAATTCAAGAAACAATAAAGGCTGTGTTTACCCAACTATTTTCTACAAACATGATTTCTCATAAATCTTACTAAAAAATACAATTTATACATAAAATTATACACAATATATAATATATACTCTATCCACTCAAAAGAAGTAACAATTCAATATAAAATATTATTTTTTATATTACCAACACGATTTCTCATATAATCATAAAAAAACACATCTATCCAAAAATACAAAGCAAACACACCCAAAATAAACTTCTGGAAAGAGGGGGAAACCAAAAAAAAAAACTTATCTAGCTAATTTTTGCTATTTTTATTAAAAATGCATTGCTAGATAATCTAGTTGGTATTTTTTTATTTTTTCATGTTTTTTTTCCAGTTAAATTACCATAAAACCCCTTAGCCCAGTACCCACACATCCAAACCAACAAGGATAAACTATATTGGATCACATAAACTGACAGAACAACTAAACAATACTTTATTTCCGATTGCTCGTCCAAGACCACAAGGAACAGCTGCAACATCAACATCACCAACATGGCCTCTGATGTTGTTTCTGACCCTAAAAGACAACAATGAAAACATTACATTTTTCAGAAGGTCTAACAAGAACAGAAATTCAGATGATGCATTAATAGAAGACAAAGAGATATCTCGCATGTATGCTTTGTTTAGTAAACAGAATTACAATCACCATAATGAACTTGTTAATGCAGGAATAACCACTAAAAAGAAGAAAGAAACCTTGTGTCAACAAAAACAGTTCCTTCCCGACTAAATGCAGGAATTGGAAACCACGAACGAATAAACTAATATGGTGTCATGACTAAGAACTCTAAACATAACAAACAAGAAGGTAATGAGGTGTTGAAATGAAACGAGCCGTTTCCTGACTAAATAATCAGAAAGTAAATCACAAAGGAAAAGAATGAAAGTGAAATACTAATAATGGTTCAGCTACTGCAGTAATACTAACCACACAGAAATAAGCAAGCCTGCCAACTGCCTGGAGCCAAGGCGATAAAATGTTGATCCTTCATCCAGTGTTTTCCCAATCATATCTAACCACCATTGGCCAGCAGAACTGCCCTCAAGACCCATCTGCAGGTAATACAAACATTAACATGCCTGAAAACTTGAAACAAAAAACCTGTATAGAAAAGGACATGAGACAACAAGGAATCATCTTCTAAACGAACTTTTTCCATTTGTTTTTGTTGATTATGAGTCTAATTGGCGATAAAGTGTAGTGTGTCTCTTCATATTTAGTTTGGTTTATGTTAAGTCCAAAGTTTGAAACTATCTAAAGAAGTGGTGAATTCATGTTGTTTAAACTGATCACGGTTGAATAACTAAATAATCCAAACAAAAACATTAATAACAAAAAGGTGTATTAAATATAATTGAGTTGAAAGGTTTAACTTGTAACTTAAGTATCCTATAATTCTAAAATTCCTTTTGTTTCCTAGAAAATGACCGAAGTGTGTTCTTTCATATTTTTTGTTTTGACATATTTGAGATGAAAATTTTTGTTTGATGTCATGTTTTGTATGGAAGCTGGCTAGGATGTGATATTTCTAGAGGGAAGATAAAAGATTGAATAGTAAAAAGGGGGACTTAAAACACGAAAGAACAGACCCATAATGTTTCAAACAATGATCCAATGATATATGGTAGAAGATTCCTCCATCTTGCAATGTACATTGTACAATATTCTATTTCTAGCATGTGTGGAATGCCCAAGACATTCAGGTACAGGTATATTTGTCTGATGAAAGAAAACACTTTGTTGATTAAAAACATTGAAAATTTTATCTAAGGATTGACTGCCTTCCAATGGGAAAAGTTCAAAGGACCAAAGGTCCTCCCTATAGAAGATTCGATAAGTAGGATGGAAACTTTCTATGGTTAGATATAATAGAACTGGAAGATACTAAAGTTAATAAATTTTGTGCGGAAGAGATCCATAAAAATTTTACGGCAGTAATTCTTTTACTCAAGTAAAGAAGACTAATATCTCAACAATATTCATAACTACAGTGCCCCACATATTCTAAAATTAGAAACAAAATACTAGATACTAATAAAAGAATACATTGCAATTATATATCATCAAATGTACAATTAAATAGCATCTTAATTTTGAACGCACTAATGAAACAACCAAATGACAATGAAATAGTATTGAATATGAGATAATATATCTTTTTTATTAATAGAATTTCTTCCATCTGTACTAGGCTACTAGCTAGCATTCTTGAGTTCCGCCATTATCAGACCTTCCGCTTCTTATCTCCCAAACTTTAGCCTCTACCCTCTAACCTGCCAACTAACTTTTGCTCCCTTAAGCCCATTAGAGAAAGCTATACACTGTATTATCGAGTTAATATGTAAATGATAAATTGAACAGATCTAAGAATCATAGAAAACTGAAAAGACTGCAAATTGTTGGGCAGCTGCAGAAGCAGCACAATCTGCTAAATTCATTAGCTGGACTTTCACTATAGCACTACATGGCAAATACGCAGATCATTAAACATAATAGTGCATATTTATTTGATAATGAGTACTTTAATTCATGTCATATATACCTATATTAATTCTTTTTTACGAAAATTGGCAGCATCAATATGAGTTACTATTGAATTCTGTCAATGATTCCTAGAAGGGATTCCAAGTCTATATGCAACTCTTCCCATCACGAAGGCAGATAATCAACTTCTGTCTTTTGACAGAAGGGAAGACATTAAACAATATAACATAGTAAAAGAAAGAGGCATCATACAGTTTCTCTAGCAGCGGACACAGCAAGAAAACCAGCACCCATTTCCACTTCTTGCAACCCAACAACAATCAAATCAACGTCTGCTGCAGCTGAGCCTAGCCATGATATAAGAGAATCTGGAGTGGCTCTTCCCTGAGCAACATTCCATGTTCCAGCCAATATTTTCAGATTCTCTAGCTTTGTGTATACAAATTCCTTTCCAGCCAACTGTGCACGCAATATATTATCAAGTGGTCCAGGAGAGGCGATGCTCCACCCACGAATACCACCATGATTAGCCAAGGTGAAAAGATAACCAGCCCCAATGGCTAAGTCTATCACTGGGCTATTGTGAGCCATCCATTCTCCTACTAAGTCACCGTTAAGATTCAAAACCTGAACAATGCCACTAATGTAACCAACCCATATTCGAGTCCCAACTGTGCATAGGCTTTGAACGGCGAAAGAATGGTAATGGAGGTCTCGCAAGCGATTGCCATTCCCATCCCATTGCACAAGTAGCCCATTAGCACATCCAGTCCAAATCATTCCATCAACTGTTGCAATCAATGCTTCAGTTCTCCGATTATCATCTCCAAAACTACCTTTTGCTGCAGCTCGACGAACAGCATCTGCTGCTCCCAATATAGCATTACGTGAACGTTGAAAAAAGCTATACGAATTTTGTGTTTTTTCCTTTGAATTAGATACAAATTTCATCCGGATCTCATCCTCTGGCGAATCAAGGTTTTCAATCTGACCATCAACATTAAACACTTTCAGTAACTCTCTGGTTCGAGCGTCCCTGTGCAAAAGAGAAAGACAAATCCCATAAAAAAGGGTCTGAAGTATAAAAACATCAGGCAGGAGAAAATATGCAATTGGGCAAATGAAAACAGAAACAAGGTCATTTGTATAAAACAATTCCTCTACCTCATTACTATTTGCAAGATTGAAATTTAATATGACTTACCATAACGCAAATGACTGATAACCAGCAGTCCACACTTTCGCCTCAACATGATCGGATAGCATATACTTGACATCTGAAGTAAATATGCTGCTGCAGGCCCCATTCTGGGTAATTTGGCTCCTTAGGTCAACGTATGATCTCTCTACTAATAAAGAGGCCATGTGCCTTTCTCCAACTATTAGAGAAAATGACTTTCCAATAGCTTCCCAAGGCCAGACTTTTATTGCACCTCCCTCTGAACCAGACCATATATCTCCTGAAGAAAAAAGATGATGCATCAATTTTAAGTGGGGTATTTCCCAGCAATATAATCATTTGAATAACCTTAAAGGATATGAGCAGAGCAATGGAAATCCAGTATGAATTTGCTCCCATTCATTCAAAACAAAGAAAAGAAAACAAACTGTTCCGAAAACAGTTTGTTGACAGAAGCAAGATCTAAGTGGGGTATTTCCCAGCAATGGTTTGCAAAGAGGAATGTGGTTGCGGAAGACAGCATAGCATCAAGCACACAGGAAAGTGACTTAAGTTTATTTAGTTCATATGGCATTTTTATTTGATTTGTTAGCACTAAGCACAGCTGCATGTAATAAGCATCTATATTTAACTTCGTAACTGTACACTTCCATAGCCACAAACGATTCTGAAGAAATCTCAATGACAGTTACTGTCACATTTCTACTGGCTCAGATTGGTTAATTGACATTTTACTTATCAGAAAGAAGCAAAAATCATGTTCTCAATACAGCAGTGATTTCTGTATTACAATCTTAGCTTGAGTTGGTATTCCCTCTGTCTCACACTTCTTTCTGCTTTCCTAGCAGTCATATCACGAGACTAGAACATAGAAAAGAAGATTAAACATACTTAACAAGTTCTATCCTTTGGTGTGAAATCTGAACCAGTGAATATAATTCTCAAGTCTCTATCAACTAATACAGCTGAACAATGATCTTAACAGTAGAAACCATAGACAGTGTTCAAAAACAATTAAGTCTTATAAATCTTCTCCAATTATGAGAACTATCTATTCTCAATTCACTTAAGCTTGGAAATTATTCTCTTTTCTTTTCGCACACGAACTTAATGTTAAAAGCAGATCTCACACAAGAACTAACTGATGAACAAACCACAAAAACACATTACATGTTGATCATTTTTCCCTGAATATCACTTTTACTCACTCAAAACTCCACTGTCAGCTCATATGCAATCATCCCCACAATTCTTAACACAGTTGAAGCTAAACCAGAGAAATACTTTTCTTTCTTATATATATGTATATACATATATATATATGTATGTATAAGCCTAAATTGAATTACCATAAGAACTGACAACCATGGATAACACAGGACCCCGGTGTGCCTGCCACGAAAACATCTCCTGAAACTCATTCTTACAAGTGACATTCACTCTCCCATTCACTTTTTCAGTTGATGCATCCAACATCTTCCAGCACATAATCCTCCCGTCCCTATGTCCACTCCACACCACTCTATTCCCCCCATCCCCAACCAAACACAATGTAGGGGACGCAACCTGCTCTGATTCCCAGTACCTCACCGTTCCCTCCTCTTCCCCATCCTCGGCCACTCCATACATATCGTTCTTCAAATCCCACACCCTAATTCCACATTCCGACCCAGCCCACAGCTGCGGCCCATCACCATCGTCGACGCAAGCAATCCTCCTAAGAAATCGCCCCGCCTGAGTCTCCCGCAACGGATGGGGCCTTATCTCAAGACTCGGCGGCCGGGTCGGATGCACCGGCGCCCGAAATGGAGGCCGGAATATCCCCGTCCCGCCGCCCGTAGCAGTAAATTCCGGCAATGGCTGATCGGGGGACGGAGAATTAGAGAGCTTCCGGTCGAGGAACTGGAGCATATAATCCAGACGGCGCTGGTAATTGGACGAACTTCCAACCTCATCTACTTCTTCATCCGACGAGGAGGAGTTGTAGAACCGATCAAAGATTCTGGGCGTCTTCTGGTAACTGGAGCCGGTATCATCGAAACTGAATTTCCGGCTGCCCTCGGCCGAATCGTCGTCGGAATCTGACCGGAAAGCGAACTTCTCAGAGTAGCATTGGAAATTGGAGCGACGAAGCAAAGCATCGTCGTTTTGGTCATCCATGGCGACGGGATTTTAGGGATTCGCAAAGAATTCGGTAGCTTGGATTTCAGACAGGAGGAAGAATGATTTCAGCAGCATAGGAATCGGAGAGTCTCTTTTCTTTTTTTCTTTTTTTTTTTTATATATATATAATAATGTGTATGTATAGTTACATAATGGGGACGACGTCGTTTGGTTGGTAAGAGACGCGCCAAACTGGAAGAGCAATAATAATAAGTTGCAGTGGCCGTCCATGTGTAGAATGTCAACTATTTAGCCAAACAGAGTAATAATAATTAATTAAGGTGGGTTCTTACACAAATATGGTTTGTCTTATTGGGTCTAATTGGTAAGGTATTGGGTTTAATTTGACCGCGAACTCCCAATTTATCTTATCTTATGGAGCTTAGTTTGCAGGTTATTAGATTCGACCAAATATTTACTAGAATGTATCCGAACGATAGCGACTGCAGATTCTCGTATTATATATATATAAAGACGATCTACTGAATATCATGTTTTACAGATGTGTGCATTACGATCTTATCAGTCACTCAACGTATCAATAATTGTAACGAGAGATTTTTTTAATCATCACCCGAAATAGTAAATACACACTTCCAATAATATATTGTGACACCTTTAAATTTATCCCAATTAGCAAATCCAATAGTTGCACAGTTGATATGTAGGCGGAAATAAAAAAATAAAAAAATAAAGAGTATTCCGCGTTATTTTATTAGGATGATTTTAGATTTTATTATTTTACGTAAATATTTTCTAAAAAATAATGAGTTTTGTAATAAAATTAAATTGATTTATCTAAAAAATCATATTCTTTTCGTCCCGTTGGAAGGGTGACGTTTGTTTTTTGTACGTAGATTTTTTAAGATTAGTATTATATTGGATTGTAGTAAAAAAGACAAAAATACCTCTATTAGTATGGTATAATATAAAAGTAACGACATTTGTGTAATATATTGTAAGTTGAAAGAATATTTATTATGTTAAATAGGTAGTACAATTACTAAATTAGGAAATGATAACCTTGTTTTGGGACAGACGAAAATGAAAAATGATAACCTTTTAAAGCGACGGAGGGAGTATTTGAACCAAGTTTTTATCATACTCCATAAGATAAATAGCATCCTAACTTATTCAATTTAAGAAATATTGACTTCTTTACAATATTACAAAGAATATATTTTGCCCTTTAAAACATTGGTCAACATCCAAAAATCATACTTCAAATCAAATTATTTTCATTTTTTTTTATTATTTTAATGTCTAAAAAGCGTATAAAATAATTATCTCATCATATGTTGATTTAAAAAAAAGTAGATAGTTTCATCATATGTTAACGCTGAAACGACAACGTAATACTATATTTCGTAAACTATAGAATAGTACTATATACAACATACGTTATAATGTTATGCTCATTTGATTTTCTCAGTGACAATAATTGGACCAATGCATCATTTTTGAGCTCCGACGATGTATACAAATCATACCGTAAATATGTTCATAAATAAAAGTTTTTCGTACGAAAACAAATGTAAAAAAAAAAACCAAAAAATAAAATAATAACCTACAGAGTCCCCTAAAACATGTACCTCTAATGAATCATCTTATGCTTCTTGGCCGAAAGAGCTTTTCATTATTAAAATCCGCTATTTTTCCCGGACACTGATCTGTTTGTTTATCTTTATCTTGAGTTTCATCGATTGCTCTGGATCTCGCTTTATTGCTTCCACCATTAGAAGATTAATTTTAAGGGAGACATAAGTAGAAGGAGGATCGACGGCGGGAAGACGTTAATAGCAGCGGATATGTCTAGCGAGATCGATGGCAGCGGATGCGGCTGGAAAGATCGATGACGGCATGCGCAGCTGACAATGTCGACAACGGTGGACATGACTGACAATAACTTACTTTGTACTATAATTAGTATTATAAGACACTAATAGAAATATTTTTACATTTTTTTTTAATTTGTACTACGTTTTGATATAATAGTTAATATTCAAATGTCAACACGCAAAAAATAAATAAGACTCGAGTAGAACAGATATAGTATTATTTTTTAATTTAAACGGAGAGAATACATAATATAATAAAAACAACAATATCTTTTTTAAATAAAAATAATAATACAATAACTTACTAAGAAAAGATAACTACAAATATATAAATCAATGCAATAATTAAACTAAATTATAACAATTGCGAAATTAATAATATTGAAGAAGAGAGACAATAGCAATAATTAAACTTGAATCTAATAATCTTGAACTAATCACTAAACTCTCAGCTTTGTTCTTCCACGACGACGTCGTTTCCCGTGTACCTGAAAATACTTTCGTTCATTGCTTAGTCGTTCATATCAACATATTTAAAGACTTATTATTTTTATTATTATTAAAGACTTATTATTATTATTATTATTATTATTATTATTAAAGATATATAAATTGCTAAAATAATATAACATTTAACACCAATTATCATCAATTTTTATTTTTATTTTTTCTAATACGGCTTTTCGAACCACCAATATATTATTAATATTTTCAAATCACCACTATGTTATTATTATTATTATTATTATTATTATGAGCATTTTGTTGCATAGTCTTTTTCTGTCCATTTTTTTCGACACAATTTTCAAAATATATAACATAATATATATTATTATTTTACAAAAAATCAATATTTCATATAAAATATTAATTTTGATATTATTTACACGATTATTTATATCTCACATAAAAAAATATACATCAAACTAAAATACTAAACAAACAAACAATCTGTACCTCCAATTTTATCCATGTATTTTTGCTTTTGCTCGTGACTATGTATAGAGTTTGTTGATTCTATGAAAAAATTATATCATCATCAAATTAATGTTAAAAGAATATTTTAGCTTGTAAAAGAATTTATCATATAATTTGTCTCCAAAATTTTGTATAAGACAATATGAATATTTTTAATGAAATCGACAAATTCTAGCAAAAATATACATATATAAACATAAGTATTTTTTTTTTTTAAATAGAACTTGATCGTTAAAATAAATTATATTTAAAAACAATTTTATGAAACATATTCATTTATTTTTTTATACATATAGAAGTATATTTTTTGAATATTAGTATTATATATGTATATTAGTATAAACACATTAAAATGACATTCATACCCCTATCAGTAGTGTGCATTAGTTAGTGATATTGATTAAATAAAATTAACTCTACTTCTGTAATATAGTATAAATTACAAATTGTAAAAATATTTTTAATGTTTAATACATATTTAGTACAACTACCTAGAAAAGAAATTAATACTTTATTTTATGACAGATTAAAATAAAAAATAAATACCATTTTATATGACATAAATGATCTACTCTATTTTCTTTATTTTTTTTTCTTTCATTTAATAAAATGTCTATAGGAATTTCTTAGTAAACAGTATTCCCTCTGTCATGCATGCTCATTTGACCAGGTAAGAATTTTAATAAAAGTGAATAATAATTGTTACTTTTTTTCTAGTAAAAAAAATACAAAAATATAATAATTTTTTACTTAAAAAAAAACGAGAATATTTTTTAATAACAACCCAAAAAGGAAAGTGAACATAGATTTGAATAACAGATGGAGTATTAATTTCATTCTTCTATCTATTTGATATTACGACACTCAGACTACATGATCACGCACACGAACATACCTTTAGCGCAATTGACGGGACTACTACTACTACTACTAGTACGTTGGCTGCATTTATCGGGCAATGTTAGAGCTTGAGAAATATTGAAGCCCGTTTGTTCCATTCCGACGAGGCTCATAAGATTGCACAAACATTGTGGAATCGTTTTGAGAATGTAGTCGAGAGGCTCGCAGCAATTCTCACCGGGAGGCTGTTGATTGTCGTTGTTGAGGTAACCTAGGCAAAATCGAAGCTCATGCATGCAATCGACATATGGTTCTTCGGCTCGAGTTAGGGTTAGGGTTTGTATAGCTACTAAACATGTAACTATTTTTAGGGTTGTAGTGATTGATAGGATACTACCAAATTTCTTCATTTTTTTTTTTTTAAATTTAATCACTGAATAATTGAGAAGCTAGAAATTGATTGCTCTATATATCAATGATATATATATATATATATGTGTGTGTGTGTGTGTGTAGAATTGAGTTTGAAGTCTTATAAGGCTTTGAATTGAATTGATTGATGTAGGTGAGGTTGGTAATCAAACTTGTTCTTAGCTTAATTATTTTAATTGTTATTTCAAATGTGTGTATTATATGTGGCTTTCAATAGGTATAGTATAATTTTTTTTTTATATATTTTAATTTAAAAGTTTGTATATTAAAATTTAAAATATCATACTCCCTTCATTCCATAACTATCTATCTATTTGTTTTTTTCACAGAGTTTTAGAAATATTAGTATTATATTGGAATGTAATAGGAATAAAGTAGAAATGACTAAGATAACCTTATTAGTATTGTGTGATATAAATGTAATGACATTTGTGTAATATATTATAAGTTGTAAGAGTATTTGTAATGTTAGGGAGTACATTTACTAAAAAAAAATTGATACTTTGTTATGGGTAGAGTAAAATGGAAAAATAGATAGTTTGTTATGGGACGGAGGGAGTATTAAAGTTATGTTGTTTGATTCTTTTTTTTTTATTTTTTTTTATATTTAAGGGTGTGTTTGTTTGGGGTTTTGGATTTTGAGTTGGGATTTGAATAGTAAAAATTTTGAATTTGAATAGTTGTATGATGTGATATAAATAGGTGTTGATATGATGTTTTGAATGTAAAATTGATTTTTAGTATAATATAAAAAATAAAAAATAGGTGTTTGATTTGATGTTTTTGAGAAGAAAAAAATGGGACGAATAGTCGAAATCTAATCCAATCCCCCAAACAAACACAACCTTAATGTATCATGTAAGAACATATAACAATTTTTATATTATAGGCATCCAACCATTATTTAAAAGGAAAAATTAAGATATAAAAAACACACGTAAAACAACAAAATGAAGATACTTTAATTTTTTTTTATTTATTATTCAAATTAAATACCTACTTATATCAT